GTAGGCCCAGCAGACCTGAATTCATCACATAGACCAGGCTGGCCTTGAGCACACAGAGATCCGCCTGTCTCTGCTTCCTGAGTGCTGGGATTAAAGGTGTGTGCCACCATGCCCAGCTCCAAATTTCTATAATTTAAATAAAACAGAATACTGTCATTAAGAAGAATGAAATCCTTTTTGTTCCAAGATATGTTAAGTGATTTTTTAAAAAATATTATGTGACAGAAATATGTTGTTAACTGTAGCACAGCCCACTGATGTTTACAAATCTTAATACAATTGGCAAATCTGATAGAATAGACACAAAACTGAAACAGTCTTTGTTGGATTGGATTGTTACTTAGGGGACCTTCACATTCCATTTTCCAGTTTGGTGAGTAGTTATAATAACTACACCACCAGCACAGATCTGGGTATTGTAGTGAACTGAGCACTGCAGTTAGCTGATAGCCATTAGATCCTGTTAGTTCAAAATGAAGTTTCTGAAGTCAGACGACCTGACTTTGAATGTCAGGCTGTGACCTCAGGTACATTACTTATCTCTATAAATCCCCATTTCCTCAGCCCTAAAATGGGAATGACTGAGGGGGATGTTTTGAAATCTGAGGAACACTCCCTCCCCTCCTCCTCCTACAGCAATGTTTGCCAAGGAACCACAGGACAGAAGTTCTCATTGTGGATGATGGTAGTGGTGGTGATGGTGGTAATGATGGTGTTGATGATGATGATGGTGATGGTGATGATGAAGTGGTGATGGTGGTGGTGATGATGATGATGGTGATGACGTGATGGTAATGATGATGGTGATAGTGGTGATTATGATGATGATGATGATGTGGTGGTGGTGATGGTGGTGGTGGTGGAAGTGATGATGATGATGATGATGATGATGTGGTAGTGGTGGTGGTGATGGTGGTGGTGATGATGATGATGATAGTGATGTGGTAGTGGTGGTGGTGGTGGTGGTGGTGATGATGATGATGATGATGTGGTGGTGGTGATGATGATGGTGATGATGATGTGGTGGTGGTGATGATGCTGTGGTGGTGGTGATGATGATGATGGTGATGTGGTAGTGGTGGTGGTGATGATGATGGTGATGTGGTAGTGGTGGGGTGGTGGTGGTGGTGGTGATGATGATGGTGATGTGGTGGTGGTGGTGGTGGTGGTGATGATGATGATGTGGTGGTGGTGATGATGATGATGGTGATGTGGTGGTGGTGGTGGTGATGGAGGTGATGATGATGATAGTGATGATGAGGTGGTGGTGGTGATGATGCTGTGGTAGTGGTGATGGTGGTGGTAGTGGTAGTGATGATGATGATGGTGATGATGATGATAGTAATAACAGTGGTGGCTGGTGATAGTGGTGACAATAGAGATGTTGCTAAACCAACTTCTATTTTAAGATTTCAAGCTAGCAGACTATAGAAACATTGTTTACTCTACCATCTGATCTTCAACAGCTGCATCTCTCTTCACTTGTTCCCTATTTGTCTCCTAGGACAACAACCAGCATCCTAAACTGTATTTTAATTTTGGCAGGTTGTGAAGATTTTATTAGCTTTGTGTTTGAATTTGGGAAGAGTTTATGTTCTATGCACCTGACTGAAGATGAAATTGCATTATTTTCCGCATTTGTACTGATGTCAGCAGGTAAGAAAACTAAATAAAAATAAAATGGTTTCAAAACTGTCCAGGTAAAAATTTTTTTCACAAGGTACAGAGCTTTTATGAGCTAATATTTATGAGAATATTTGAGGGGCTCCCAAAAGCAACAGCTACCCTTATTAAATTTATTTTCAATGAATAACATCCGCCCAGCTGTCTTTTTAAAAGACCTCATGGCACTGAAAGACATAGCTCAGTGGGTAAGAGCAATTGCTGAACAAAACATGAGGACCTGAGCTCAGATCCTAACACCCATGGTAAAAATAATAATAATAATAATAATAATAAAATAAAAATAAAAACAATACAACTTGGCTATGTGAATAGCCTCAGCACTATGGGGGTGTGGAAACAAGTTGATCACTGCCAGCTCACTCCAAGTTCTGGGAGATGGTCTATGTCAAGAAATAAGGTGGAGGGTGTTAGAGTGATAGGTCACCTGGCCTCTGCACACACACACGCACTTGGAATTCTCACACAAAGACTTTCTCTTAAATTAACACCTCTTAAGTCATCTGGAATTCTATTGATATTTTTAGTCGCCTTGGGTTAAAAAGCAATTTCATATTTCCAAGAAGGCCAGCAGGATGGATGTGATATAAATATCACATGCAGAAGTAGAATTATCAGAAAGGCTTGTGGGGAGAAGGCACAGTGGTTTCATTTAACGTCCTGAGTGGCCCTGATTTAGATGGCTATCCTGTAGAAGGGGACATCCTGCCTTCCTCTACATATCAGTAAAAATAGAAAGACTTAACACCCTATCTTATCACTGCAGTCAGTTGCTTTTTTACTCATACTGGAGCAAATTTTCAAAGAGAGAAACTGGCCTATGCCCTTCTAAACACTCACTGTAGCATAATAACCCATATCCGATTCAGAGGAAGGGGTGGTCTGGCTTTGGGTTGGAGGAAGGATACTAAAGAGTTTTGTTTCTCATGTTTAGATCGCTCATGGCTTCAGGAAAAGGTAAAAATAGAAAAACTGCAACAGAAAATTCAGCTAGCTCTTCAACATGTTCTACAGAAGAATCACCGAGAAGATGGAATCCTAACAAAGGTAAGATCCAGAGGGTTCCACTAGGCCTGCACTATCCTCTGGCACCATCATGCTTACAAGTCTACTTGTAAGTCACATGATCAGTCCCCAAAAGTACCCACATGCCATGGGATACTGTAAAAGTTCTGCTGGGTCAAAACACATCACTCGAGTTTAAATTCTATCCACTATCATTTATCAGAAAGTGTCCTGCAATAATAGGACGGTGTAGGAAAACGGATTTTTTTACTCTTTTTTAATTACGTGTATATGGGGCGGGGGGGCGGTACATGTGCATGCAGGTGCTTCAGAGGCCAGAAGAAGGCATCAGGTCCCCTGCGGCTGGAGGACAGGTGGCTGTGCACAGTGACACAGCACTGGGAAATGAACTTGAGGCCTCTGTAAGAGCAGAAAAGATTCTAAAGTGCTGAGTCATCTCTCCAGCCCCAGAAAACAAATGTGTTTAAGCACTAATACTTTGAGGAACTTCTTGCTCTTCCCTTAGACTCAGATACAAAGCATGCTTGGCATACTATAGTGATGTAAAGGAGGAGAATCTTTGACTTTAGAAGGAAGACATTTAAGAAGACTAAAAGTAGATAACCATATAGTCCAATATTAGTTCTCTTTCCATTCAATATATTAGGAAGCAAAAATTTTATATTTTATCAATTTCCTGTTACTATGCTGTATTAAAAACATGAGACTTCATTTTAGCTAATTATCTTTCACAACAAAAATATAGTTTAAAAATCATAATATCTTTTAGTGTTGGTGCTAGTATGGCCCTCTGATCCTAGAAAAAGAAGCCCCTTTCCTTCTGAGATCTTTTGATGTGTTTAATTGTACGAGAAGGTGATATAAAATTTGGGGGCTTTGATTTCCTGACTGAACTCATTCCTCTTATTTTCTCCTGATAACTCAAGTAGGTCAGAATTGAGAAATTGGGAATAGAAGGCTGTCTTTGATTTTGGAATTGACGAATGATGAATGAGTTAAGAGAAGGGAAATTAGGGGCTGGAAAGATGGCTCAGTGGTTAAGAGCACTGGCTGCTCTTGTAGTGGACCCGGGTTTGGTTCCCAGCTCCCATATGGTGGCTAACAGGCCATTGGTAACTCTTGTCCTCCACAGGCATTGCATACATGTGGTGCACCTACATACATACAGGCAAAATGCTCATATATATAAAGTAAAAGTTAGTATAAATTAAAAAGTAAATTTAAAAAATTCTTTAGAAAAAAGGAGAATCGAAGGTTTGGAATGTCAGGGGCCTCCCTCTTCTCTATCTTTGTGTTCAGGTGCAAAAGCACCATCAGTTTATTATAGAGAGCACCTGACACATAGACATGCTCTAGTGAGGATAGTTTCTACAGAGGACAGCTCTGGAATGAAGCCAGAAGCCCACTGCCTTTGAATAGTGTGTTTGCAATGACAAGCATCTTTGCAAGACTGTGCTCTTACCTTCCTTCAGCTGGTAGATGTTCAGTGCCGGGACTTTAGGCCTCCTGACTATTCATTGGCTGAGACCCAGAATAACTTTAAATAGAAAGAAAACTCTGTCTAGAAGAAATCTGTCCTTAGATTGACTCCAATGGGCCAGCAAGATAGCTCAGTAGGTAAAGGTGCTTACGGTGCTGATGACCTGAGTTTGAGTCCTAGGACCACTCTGTAATGGTGGAAGGAGAGTACAAACTCCCACAAGTTGTCCTCTGACCTCCACACATGTGCACCATATGTATACACATGGGGGGGCATTTTTTTGTTTTAATTTAAAAAAGGAAAAAAACTGAGTCCCACTAGCTCGGCATGCAGTATAGAGGGTGCCCACTGCTCTGGTTGCAGTGTCTGTGGTAAATGCTACTTACCTGCTTCACCAGTAGACCTCTTCTCTTCCCACAGAGGTAATCAGAGGACTTGAGTGGTTCGGCAGAAAGCACCCTGGAATAGGGAGGAGACTAGAGCTCAGGCTCCTCCTCTGGACTCTAGCACTGACAGGCAGGGGCCCAGTTTGCATATGAATACCTTCTTAGCCATTGCTTCACCTCCCCAGCCCCTTGAATACCTTCTTGGATTAAGTACATTCCGAGCACTTTAAGATGTGACTGTCATTTAGAGTCCATCACTGGAGGTCTAAGTGCATCAAGTATCTTCGAAACATTCTGAGCAATGATCTGAAGATCACCCTCCTTCCTTGAATTTTCACTCTCATGCCGGCTCTCCCCTGACATCATGTCCTTTCTCCCGCTACAGCTAATATGCAAGGTGTCTACATTAAGAGCCTTATGTGGACGACATACAGAAAAGCTAATGGCATTTAAAGCAATATATCCAGACATTGTGCGACTTCATTTCCCTCCGTTATACAAGGAATTGTTCACTTCAGAATTTGAGCCAGCGATGCAAATTGATGGGTAAACATAGCACCTGAGCGCTTCTAGAATGTCTGAAGTACAAACACGAAAAAGAAAACAAAACAACAACAACAAAATAACTGAGACACTTTCTATGACCCTGCGCAGCCCTGGAGCGCCAACACACTGCACATCTCTTGGTGATCGGGGGTCAGGTACCGGAGGGGAAACAATCGAAACAAATAAAAGTTGAACTTGTTTTTCTCATGCATATGATTTCCACTCTGCCTACAGATATGGACCCTTTTTCTGTCTCAACTTCTTGAGTGGTTGACCTCTGTTTACAACAGAAGGGTACTAATGTCGGAGGAGTTCCTTTTCTTGTAGCTCACTGCCCACAGACTCAGCGGGTGACAGCGGAGAGTCCAGTGGTAATCGGTGCCCGGTGTGCATAGCGGAAGTTGCGGCATTACTTTGCACAGCTTGCTCTTTGTTTCATGAAGGAAGTTTTTGTTTTTCTCACCGATTATTGCCAGTCAGCGGAATGGCGAGAAAAGGGGATCCATAGCGCTCGCAACAATAGCATTATATTACAGGGTAAATGGGCATGAAGACTATATATAGCTAAAAGAGAGATTGTTTATATATTGTTTTAATTAATATAAAATGTAGTGACTGGTGTAGCTTTTCCTGTTGAATTGATAAGGCACTTTCCGTTTTGCACCTTTTTTTCTTTAAATTAAATGCTAGCGTGTTCACTGTCGCCATGTGGCATGTACACCAGAAACACAAGTTTAACTGAGAAGGCTTGGAAGGTACGTTGGGAGGTATTTTTGCTGCTGTTTACAATAATAATAATAATAATAATAATACTTTTAAAAGACTGGCTGGTCATATCCAGAAATCAACTTGTCGAATTTTTTTCCCCATGTGTAAATTTGGAATTAGAAATGGAACACTCCCTAAATCATACTTTGCTTTTGCCTAAGATTAATAATAGGTGTGTTTATGCTTCATACGGAGTTGAACGACTGACTGGTGCTGTGGGCTTAAAGCATCATGTGCATTTTTTTAAAGCTTTTAAAAATGCCACCTTTGGGAGGTGAGGGGGGACCTCATTTTACACAACTGAGTCATCACGGAGACTCAGTATCAGCTTAGAACTCTAGTGCTCTCTCAGAACAAATCAGTAACCTGAGTATTTATTGGAATCTAGCTTTTATTTATAAGGACCCAAAGATTTCGTGTAGAGCAAGCATTCCCCCACACAAAGCATTCTTAAGAATTCATCTCAGAGCAAATGTATTCTACACTAGTTGTCCCTAGACGGCCCTGTTCTAGAATGTTGCTCTCCATATTTGGCAGGCAATGGATGGAAGACAGAGGCAGTCTGTGTGGAACCCATTTCCTTTATTGAAATATTCTAAGTTTTTAAAGTGGAAGTGACGCCAGCTGCAGACATTTGTGTATTTTATCTTCACTAGAAAACTGTGGACTGTAATTTATTGTATTAAATGTTTAGGAGATTGTTCAGCTTTTGTGTTCAAATGAGAAATACGGAAGTATTTTTGTTTGTGTTTTTTTGTTTTTTTTTTTAAATAATCCCCAGGAGGAGGAGGAAGGAAGGACAGTGTTAGGTATAAGAATGTGCATATTTTTAAAGACAGATCCCCTGGGGCTGGAGAGATGACTGAACAGTTAGGAGCACTTACTGCTCTGTACCAAGAGGACTGAAGTTTGGATCCTGACACCCATATCAGATGGTTCACAAATACCTGTTACTCCAGCTCCAAAGGATCCGATGCCCCCTTCCTGCTTCCATGGGCACTAATATACACATGTGCATACACACACACACACACACACACACACACACACACACACAAATAAATCTTTAAAAACAAGTGCCCTTTTTGGAGACAATCTCAGTCACACTAGAGGTGGGATACAAGCTACTGATCTGACATCAAAGACCATGTCTGTAAAGAAAAGAGAACATCTTCTATGGTACAAAGGTGGGGGCTTTCAAGAATCTCTGTATGTCTAAGCACCTCCTCCACTGCCTCTAGGGTCATTCTAGAACCTTTTCAGACATTTCTGTTCCTGTTAATGTCCATCTGGGTTACCAGGGCTGGCTTCCCAGAGCACTTCACTGTTTTTAACTCCACTGACTTCCTGCCTTATTTACTGAGGGTCTTGGAAAGGAAGAAGGAATTATTCACACAGAAGTGTGTGTATGAAGCCTAAGCAGCATCGGTTTTTTTTTTCAAAAAAACATAGTAAACGATAAATGGAAAAGTAATATTTACTTAAATTTCTTACAAACATATAAAAATTTATGTGTTTATATAGAGAGGTTAGCTGTCATAGTATTTATATTGGGGCAAGAAGGGTTTAAATCAAATTTTTATTTAAGCACATATAGTTCCTTTAAAAATAGTATTTATACTCTAAAAAGAGCACCAAGTTCGGTTATTTCTTTGTCCACTTTTTCTGTTGTTTCTCCTGTGTAGGGGAATGGTGTGGGGTTTGAGGGGGGTTTTTGGTGGGTGTTGTTCGTTAGATTCACTAAATTTGGGGATGGTTTTATTAAAGTATATTAACTTCTTTTTAACCAAAGCTTTCTGCATATGACCAGCCTCAGGTGCTAGTGCACTAAAGAGCAACTAAACCTAATTCCAGTGTCCAAGTGGGAATAAGAAGAGTTGATTGAACTTCTCTAAGGGTGAGAGAGTGTAATGTTGACCTTCAAAGAAATTCCTTTTCCTAGAAAGGATTCTGCATGTACCTAATTGGGGGGGGGGATGCTTTAATCTCAGTAATATGCCAGCAACGTTGCTTTTAAAACACACCAAAACAGAGTGATGGAATGCTGCTTCTAGGTGTTTCTGAAAGAAAAGCAGGAGGTAGGCTTTCGGAGGAAAGCTCTCTGACAGTGTAGGGATGGAGCAGTAGAGACAGGCGTGCTCAGAGAGATGGATAGGACAATTGACTATGATTTGTACCTAAGTTGGGATCTGAAGCTCAGTAATAAACACAGTTGAGAGTAACAGGGGAGCCCAGAAGAGGGTGTAAAAACTCTTGCAGTTTTATTTTGTTCCTTATTATGAGAACACTTGCGTAGTGACATAAGGTGGTGGATGATACAGAACCATGACATTGAATAGTTCACGTCATGACTCTAAAGTTGCCTTGATTTATAGGCTCCACCGTCTCGTAAGGTTTGGGACATTGTTATCAGCTCAGCTGCTAGACCACCTTTAGATCATTTATTTTTACATAAAGTAAACAAAGCTTTTGTACAAAACCTAGCTGCTTTCTGTTACAAATGCTCAAATGATCCAGCTATATTATGAGAAACTGGCCTTGGCCACAATGAAATTAAAAGTGAATTTTGGGCAGATTGTAAATTGTGCTAAGGCTCTGGATTTTTTTAAAGCATTCAGTATGCTACTTAGTTAAAGCTATGGATTGTTTGGTTTTTCAAAGTCTTCAGCATCCTGATTCACCCTTCCTAACTTAAGGAAAACATGACCTAAGACACTGCTTCTAAGTTTGGTTGTTCTTTAACGTGTGGATACCAGATCTCTGTGAGTGTATGGGAGTGGGCTGAGGGTCAGGGTTGAGGAAGGAGAGTGTGTGCGTGTGTGTATGTGACTTGCGTGTGTGACGTGTATTTTGGACTGCTTCTAGGCTACTATGTGTCAATGGAAAAAAATGTATTCAAAATACATTAATCAAAACTAGAAGACGGAGGAAAAAGAAGATTTATTCTATACAAAGCCTTGTCTGGACCATAGAGAGACTTCTATTTTTTTAACCCTTCTATAAATATTTGATGGCACTTGAAATATTCCTGCAATAAAATGTGATTTGTGTAAAGTAAAAAAAAAAAAAAAGATTTTGTAATGTGAAACAAAGAAAGAAAGTAATGTAATTTTCTAAAAAAAAAATACAAACAAACAAACTTTGTATTATTTTCTTGATGGAATTTGTCTATCTGTCTTTGGAAAACTTTTTATTTCATTGAATGTGCCATAGTAGACATGTGTGTTTTTAGTTGTAGACTAAGGAATAGCTAGCTGTTTGTGTTCCCACATTCCAAAATGCAAAACAACTTAGGAGAACCTTGATGAAAAGGTGTCTGTAGGACGTAAGCTTCTCCTGTTGCTTTTTTGCACATGTCTTTCATTCCTCTCTAGTGCAATATATGTACATAGAGCACTTGCGGGTGTACCTTGATCCCTCAGGGAAAAATACATATTTGTACAGTTGTTTTGTTTTTTGGTTTTGTTTTTTGTTTTATTTTTCTTTTGTTTTTGGCTAAGGATTGTCGATCGAATCACTTGTTATTGTTGAGAGGCAGCCAGATAATCAGCCTAAAGCCACTGTTCCAAACATCAATTGTTCAAGTCATGTGTCCTTCCAATGCTATTTTAAAATAATAATAATAAAAAGCTATTTTTCTGACAGTTCTTTGTGCTGACTGGTGGAAAACAAAAGGGGAAAAAAAAAAAAAAAAAAAACAAAAAAAAAAAGCACCTTATGATTGACTTACTGTGAATGACAATCCATCTCAGTATCAAGGACGGAGCCCTGTCATCTGGAGTTGGGGCTGAGAGTCAGAAACATTGTGCTCAGGGATCTTCCAAAACTCTTAAAACAGGGTGGCCAGTGGACTGGGACAAATTGTGTTTTTTACTATTATGAAGAATGATGATGATGATGGTGATGCTATCCCTCCAAGGCACAAGCGAACTGTATAGAACTCTGTGTGTGTGTGTGTGTGTGTGTGTGTGTGTGGGTGTATGTGTTGTGAGTGCGTGCATGTGTACATGTAGGCACATAAGCTCCTCCCCATCGTTTCATTTTGTTGAGTTCAAAATTTCTGTGCTGTTCAGTTTCATGTGCTTCAAAACCCTGCATAATGCCCAAAGTGGTGCAGAATTATAGCAGTGTGTATGAAAGATACATTGGTAAGTGATAGACTCATGAGTACCAAAGTGCAGCCCTCGGGACCCCATTTGCCATCTCCCTGATAAATGGAGATGATAGAATGTTCACGAGAAACACAGCACAGTGTACATTTTAAAATGATTTCAAACTGTGTATTATGGATTAAGAATTTTTAAATCCAGTGACAAGACTTATCCATGAGATGAGTGAAATAAAAATGTTTAATGCTAGAGAATAACTAGCATTATTGTTGCTTTCACTGTGTCCTCTAGGACCAAACAAAACTCCCCTCACACAGAACAGTTCCTACTTGCACATCCTTGGTGTTTTTCTGCAAGAGCTGATATTTGAAGACATACCAGTCCCTGCCTGTAGGGCAGTGACATTTTGTTTGGTGTTACAGTTTTGAAATGTAGTTTGGGTCTCATAGTCCCATATTTCACTTTCCACAGTTAGAGGGGTTCAGTGTAGTTGTTGACTCTGATTCTCCCACCCCATAGCACCCACTCAGCAAATTCATATATCTTATTACGTGAGGGAACAAGACATGGGAATCCAGTCCTTGTCTATCAGATGACAACGACTCTTTATACCTTGTTTTGGTGATGAGTGTGGAAAGTATCAGGACTCTCCCTCCCCTCTTTTAATCCCTCCATCCCTTTCTCTCCCTACACACACATACACACACACACACACACACACACACACACACATGCACGCACACATTATGGACATTTTTACATACTATGACATGGCCACCCCTCTGACTTATAAAGTTGTGCTACAGAATCCCATCAGAGTAACTTCTTACTACGGATCAATCACGTGCCCAAACTTTCAGCTGTAACAGTCCATCTTGATTGCTAATATCCATCAAGACAGTCCTTCATTCTATCCCTAAACACTAATATACAAAGTGCTAGGCCAGCTTTGATAGCAGAAGCCTTTCTTTCTATTGCTGTTGATGAGAAGGCCAATTAGCCATGTCTCCAAAAGCAACTGGTTGCACTTCTGACTCCATTTTCACACGTGTGTGTGTGTGTGTGTGTGTGTGTGTGTGTGTGTGTTCATTTTTGTCAGACTCTCAGAATAATTTTTAAAAATAATAAGCAGGAAGGTTGGCTTCACACCAGGGAGCTACCGTAGATGGGGGCAGAGCTCCATGTTCAACCATACCCTCAATCTTAGAGCAATAAATACTATTCAGTTCTTTATTTACTTATAAATGAGTGACAGAATATTTGATCCAAATAGAAACCACCTTTTCCTAGTGATGCGTGACGTGGAGTGAGTCTTGTATGGAAAGTGGAGATGAATGCTGGAAAAGATGCCCAGAGAATCTGCGTGTGCTGTTTACATGTAGTGTGCTTCCCACATTAGCAGTCCTATGCTTTTTGTTTGATCCTTCTAGAAGTGAATGGCGGGTCACTTACTGTCCATTGTGACAGGCTGTGCTGCTGTTGAGCTGTTCTAGGAACTCCGCTGCAGTGTTTGTGTGTGAATCTTTTCTTGCGCATTGTGGCTGTCATGTGGAGGAAAAACTACTTCTAGGAACTTGATTCTGACTGAACAGATTGCATATGTGAATGCAGATCATTCTTGAGCAATATAGTGAATATGAGTTCACACAAAGGAAAAAAATCTGTATGTACTGTACACATCTTCCTGAATCCCAAACTTTCTGCTTATCCACAATGGTTTGAAATCTCATACACAACAGTGGTGAATGTTTTCAACATTAGGACATTAGCTGGCTGCTTCTTTAAATGTACCTGTTATTGTCTGCCTGCTCCTTTTGTGGAGATGTGTTTTTGTATTGGATGTTTGGGCCAATGGGAGGCTTCAAGCTACAACATATTTTCCCAGTTTAAATATATTTAACATATGACAAACCCCAGACAAGGCTTTTAATATGTATAAAGAACTGCAGTGTTAGGTGGTTTTATTTGCAAACCGTTTTCAATGTTGTCCATTTTTATGGCACCTTTAACAATATTCTTGTTTCCAAAGTACAAAAAAAAAAATAGGTTAAATAATCTAGCCATAACTGAATGTCAAGCAATAAAACAAATGACTTTTGTGCATAGACTTAAAAACCTACAAATTTTAGACATCTGCATGTAAATGCAATCTCTTGTTTACTGCTTTCTTCGACTTGAGCAATTGATTCCTTATTTACTATTAACTTAAGAACTTGTAATGGCCTGTAAACATTTTCTCTCTTACTCTTCTTTCAAATTTACCTTCGTCCCTGCTTTTGAGTCATATTTAATGTTGTTCTACACATCTCTATACAGTTAACTTTTTGGCTTTCATTCTGTATAGATAAGAAAATGTTATATTATAAACAGCCTACTCAGCGCAAATATTTATCTGTTTATCAAATCCACAATATGCTGTAGAATACCAGTTTTACTATATAATCTATTTTAGACATAGCTGTTTAGAACTAGAGTGTGCTATTTTTGTGTTTTTTCTGATGTGTGGTGCTAGATAAGTTACTTTTGTGAACAAAAAATTATCCCTTT